GATGTATAAAGTAATTTGGATTAATACTCTATTAAATATCTTGATAGACAAAGTTCGATATTTAGATTATAAAAAAAAAGTGTTCAACTCTTAAAATAAAGGATAACATGGAAACTCCAAATCATTAGCCCCGCTCTTTCCTTTCCTCTTTCTCAATTGTTCAATGGAGAAGTGATAGCAGCCATGGCTGCTTCCTATGGGAGAGATTTGCATCAAACAGTGATTATCAAATTTGCATATGGAATACCAGTGTTATCAGAGTTACGAAAGCTTTTACCAAAGCAATTTGATGTTAAAGGAAACTGCAATATTGGACAACTTGATTTTCATCACCTGTTGATCAGGTTTGATTTATATGAGGACTATGTACATGTTCTGTCAAGTTCTTATGGCTATTTTAAGTTAGATGGCGAAGAGTATTTATTTAGAACCCTTTTATGGACGCCACCGTTCAAGCTCAAGGACGAAACACCTAAAGCCTGGGTATGGATTTCATTGCAAGAGTTACTGACATATCTCTTTGCAAGGAGGCCTTTATTATCAATTGCAACAGCTGCAAGAACGCCTATTGCAATTGATAAAACAACGCAAGATCGCACTAGGCCAAGTATGACTAGGGTTAAGATAATTCTAGACCTACTAGACAAGCATCCAATTCATGTAAGACTACAACTTTTGAAGAAAGAATCGGGTATATTGAACATTATCAAAGAATTGTCTATGACAATCTTCCACTGTATTGTACTCATTGTAAACACCAAGAACATGAAGAAAATAAATGTCATTTGTTAGTAGGGAAGACATTGTCTCAAGGTAATCGTTTAGCCGATGAAGCTGCAGGGCGAGATGTTGCACTTATGCAACCTGATTTTGAGGCTAACAGTATGGAAAGATTAAAGTAGATGCACATGATTTTTTTTAAACTCTATGAGAGTTGCGGAAAAAGATATGGAAAAACCAGTTGGCAAACGAAATGTGGGGCAACAATTGGCTGGAAATCATAGTTCTTTGATTATTGTTGCGGATAAAACTGGTGTAGTTAACAGAGTCTCAAATCTGCATGGTACATGTCCTTACAAGTTTGGGACTAATAGTTTAGTAGATTCAACTCCTAAATCTACTCGGATTGGCGAGGAGGCAGTAAAAAAGGTTGCAGACCATCATATAACCCCTGAAGCTTCAATTTTGTTGAAGAACAATTCTGCTTAGACCATTGAGAATGGTTTGGATCCGGGAAATCAAGGTGAATCTGGGGCAGCTCCTTTTGTCCAAAGGGAATGACAAAGATTTGGTGAAAGTTATGTCATCACTTTCTCAAGCTAATCTCACAAATAATTTGACTATTTCGAAGGAAAAAGCGGAGATGAGTGCTCCTAGGTGGGCTGATTTGGTTGATGAAGAAGTGCAGGTTTCACCTCCTCTTTTGAATGCCAAATTAAGTCCACAAGCTCTAGAATTTTTTCCAAAAAGTGTGATTGCAAAGAAGAATGAATCAGAGGCCTTAGCATCAGGATTTAGTCCCACTAATGCTTAAGCTATTGATATGGGCGATGATTTTTTTTATGAGGATGAGGAAGATAATATGTTGGACGTATGCTTTGATAAAGTGGCTAGGGATGAGGATATTTCATCTTGGCATCAAAGAAGTGGAAGCAACAAAAGTAAAAAAGAAGACACATGGTAGGCAACACAGTTGGGATGGTAAAATCCTGGGGAGTTTGTTCCAAGTCAAATACCAATGTGACTGGCAAAACAAGATTTTATGACAGTGTTATGATTTAACAAGATCCAATAAACCCAAGAATAAGTGATGAACTATCAAGTGTTTTGTCAGACAAATTTGAAGAAGAAGACAAGAGGAAGATACTTCAGGTTAATTTAGAGGGACAATCTATTATTTTTAATTCATACATTTGTAAAAGGAAGATTGAGGTTGATAACTCAACTTTCTTCTTGGCTTTTATATTTTTGCATTATTTAAGTATCCTCATTTGTAATATCATCATAGAGTGTATCACAAACTATGGTCATAGAATACCTAGCTCTCTCTAGTTCTTATTTTCTTCATGCTTGTTAATTAGTAGAGCTTCATAACCGTATCAAGATTGGTAAAGTAAAGCCTAACCCCCTTGCTTGTACTTATCCCTATTGAGGATTTTTATGTTAATAAAAGGCCACTAGACACTCTGTCTAGTGGTATAGATTAATATATATGGAACATCAGAGTAGTAGTGAATATCTACACTAATAGAAAGTTTCACTAACATTGATTAGCAGTTGCCATGATAAATACTCATAAGTGTTAACTTAAATATGTTTTAAATTCACTAACCTTATATATATTGCCTTTTTTACTTTCTAAATATAGATTCTTTGTTATCAAGAAGGTACTATGGCACTATAAAGGAAAAATAATATTTTTTATTATGTGTAAATAATCTAAATACGTGTTCTAGTAATGTAACAAAAGCCTTGGCATAATTGGTAAAGTTGCTACCACATGACGAGGAGGTCACGGGTTCGAGCGGTGGAAAAAACCTTTTATAGAAATGTAGAGTAAGACTGCATACAATAGAATCTTGTGGTCCAACCCTTCACCAGAATCCACGCCTACAGAAACTTAGTGCACCGAACTGTCCTTTTTGCTGAAGGAATTTCAATCCTTAGAAAAATCCTCTGTACGCAAAAACATTTTGTATGTCTTTCCACAAACTTTAATGTTCGTCCAATAATAATTAATGATGTCATCACATCCTCCTCTTTAAGCAACTAGCGAGTTGTGCCGTTATAAATGGTATCAAAGACACAATTGTATCATCCTTGTCGATGTGGGCTGGAAGCGGGTCCAACCCTAGGAAAATCCCATGTGGTGAGACAAACCTCGGTGAGGAAGTTGAATCCCTAAGAGGGGGTGTATGTGACACCCTAGCTAGCTTAGGATAAAAAGCTCTACATGGATAAAACATTGGAGAGAGATGTTGGGTATATAAGTAAGAGGGACTTACACCATAGAGACGTGTTTCAAAGTCGTGCAGGCTTAGGCCCAAAGTGGATAATATCACTAACGGGATGGGCCATTATAGATGGTACTAGAGCTACTCTTGTATCAACCTTGTCGAAGTGGGTCAGAGTTTAATTAAGTTTAGGTAAATCTCGATAAGACAGGGAAAACCTCAGTGAAGATGTTGGTTATATAAGTAAGCAAGTCGTACACCATAGTGATGCATTTTAAAGTCGTGCGAGCCTAAGCCTAAAGCGAACAATATTACTAACGGTCTAAGCTGTTATATCCCTCCTCCCCGACAACATATGCCCCTCACAACATTTCCAGTTTCATCCTTGAGTATCATTATTTTTTAACAAACGCTTCATAATCTTACCCGATGGGTGGTGTCATCACTCAAGCCTTGAAAATCCTGCTCATCACTTACTCATTTGACACGTATGGACGTCAACAGGAATTGGAACTTATTACTTTAAGTTCAATTGCACGATCAAGGGTAGAATAAAACATGTAACTTCTTTAATGTTTGTGTAGCCTCTTAATTATATATGTGTTCGTCGACAAACCCTAGTTCTCGGATACCACTTATGAACATGATAGGTACACAGAAGTGAAAGGTAAAGAATCTCATAAAACATTGAGTAATTCATTAAGTGAAAAGTTAACAAAAAGATCGATAAAAAAAAAAAAAGAACTATGCGAGGCTACATTAGAAATCTTACAAAATAAAACATGGCATGAGTATGGTATCTATGGGACTTCTAAGTCACACATGAGACAAGGCCCCTTACTATACCCAAAAACATACAAAAATGTCACTTCATAAGCAAAAGTGCCTCAATGATAAATAAGGCTCACCACAAGAATGAAATGAGTAGAGTGCCTTGTGAGGATTAGTGCCGCCCTGAGAGTCCATACGTGCATCACAAAAAGATGCAGTACCTTGACAAAAGAGAAGTGATTACATGTGAAATAGTACTCACATGATGAGCTGAACCCAAATATAAGAGAATGTAAGTTGTACTAGCACCAACTTATTGCTATACTAAAGTACAAACCAACAAACAAATTTCTTGTCATGTATTTACAATGGCAGCAAGAAAATCTGTATTGTACCATTGAATTTTACTATTCTTTACCTCCTTAAAGTGCTTCTTTAGGAGGAGTACTGGAGGTATTTCCATCTAGATGAGATATAATACTTGGAATGCGGTGGATATGAGTTGCTGTAAAAGGGGGATTTATTACATATATAAGCATCTAAGCTAAATAAAGATGAAAACATGATTTTGCTGATTATGATTTACCTTTGTGTAACTGTTGACATTTTGTTTCCTCATTCTTCATTTTGTTCATATGATAATGTTGATTTTGAATTTCTTGTCTTTTCTTATGAACTTGCAGGAAAAAAGTTGTAAAATTTGTGGTGATATAGGTTCTCAAGAAGCAATTATTACCTGCTATAAGTGTAAAAATGTTGACGTGCACCAGTAAGTTCTCTCTCGATTTTTAGCACGTAAAGGCAGTCAGGCAAGCTGAAAGTCATGATCTCTTATCCATTCTTGCTCCATCACCTTGTGCCATATCTATATGTTCATTGTAAACCTCAAACATTGTCCCAATCCCAACCCATTCTTTTTTGATTGACTTGCCATTTCTAAGGGAGAAGTTGATCTTTTGACACAAGGGGCTGCTCCTCTTGAAGGAAATTGCGAGTTAGATTATCAGCTTTTGCTCCCCTTTTATTGAAACTTAAATAGGGATGAAAAGTGGAATAGAACTAAAAGCTTAAATGGAAGTGATATTACCTCTTAGGGAGAGTAAGGACCTCTTCGAGTTGTCTAATCTTTCTGGCATTCGAATCCTAATAGTATTGGGTTCCACCTAAAGGATACATTGATTCTTTCATTAGAATGTTGTGGCATTTAATTCTATTAAGTACATAGTTCTCTTCTTATTTTTAAAAAATCTGCTTTTCTCTTCCTTTCAGAAATTGCGTGACGGGCTATTATGTTGATGCACCAGTGGATTGGTGTTGTGAAGGATGTGATACTGACAAATGGATAATATCTTTATCACATGGACTAGAAAATGTGCAATCCGAGGAATCCTCTGCAAAGATTTGTCTGAGTACTGTGCAACCAAAGAAACATAGTAAGTTTCCTCGTGGGAGTAGGAATCGTATTAACTGGGAAAAGGAGGTAAAGACTGGGAAAGCCAGATATCTACCTGTTGAAGAAGCACTTGGTCTGCAATCAGGCATGGAGAAATTTGAATCACCACTGGTAACTACTGTGTCCTCAAGAGTTGTGTCAGCCGAATCCATGGCAATCGTGACTCAAGGGCATTTTAGCAATCCTAGAGTTCAAATTTCAAATTCTTTTCCGGAGAAGAGTGCAATGCAATTATCTAAAGGTTAAGTGTTCACCAACATCTTTTGTATTCATTAATTGGTTTAATTTGTCCTCTTTTTATACCTCTAGTCTTTAGAAATTTCATTTTCTATCATTTACTTTTGTACTTTCATCAATTGATGTAGCCTATTTTTTAGGTCCAGCTGGTTCTACCATTATGGAGCATAGGAGTCGCAATGATGTGAATGAGATTCGAATGATGAATTCATCTACGACACACCCTTGTGATCCTGCTTTAGTTCCTTCCTGGATGTAAGTATCCTTCATGAATGCACATTAATTTCCAATATAGTTTAACACAGGGTAAACTGAGCTCCACAAAAGTTCAAATTCAGCAAGTTAGTCTTTTGCATATTTCTCTCTGGTTACCTTGTGACTTTTTTTATGGCAGCAAGTTAGTCTTTTGCATATGATTTTAAGAAATCCCCCCTGTGGAATGGAAAGGTTGCCCAGAAAATTAGTTGGGGTGTAAGCAAGCTCTGGGAACGTCATTAGTATAACTAAAGAAAATGAATAGGACTTTGTATAATATATGCCTAACTATGGGAAAGAGTTCTACGTACTATATATTTTTGTGTCCTTGAAACTCGAATATGCGTTTCGTTATTCGTCGAAAACAGAGAAGTTTCCCTTTGATTATTCTACGTACTATATATATATATTGAAGATCTTTTTTTACTTGAAGAATTGGAACAACTCAATAGGAATACAGGTTCACTTCCCTATAATAATTAGTCTCTCTCTTCTTTGCATTTTAGGGGAAATTTTGACATCTTAGGTGCGCTGGAACTTGCACCTGGGTTATTCAATAATTGTATTCAGGCTCATCCTCCTTGCAGAGTTAGACGTAAGGTGTATGAGTTCTCAGGGCTATTGCCTGATACTCTTAAATTTGAACTAGTTCCCCGTGGGGATATCTGGGCAGGTCTGTTCAACAGTCATTTTCCAGATAAAGAAGACATAGGACTCTATTTCTTCGCAAGTGAGAGAGAAAGGTCAGCTTCTACCCTATATATCTATCCCGAAAAGGGATAGGGGTGCAAAGTAGAAGTGCGCCCTTGCCCGGGATTATTTTTACTAGAAATTGATTTGAATTTCCCATTATCTGTAGGTCGGAGAGATATATTTCCCTGGTGGAGTTCATGCATAGCAAGGATTTGGTGTTGAGAACTCTTATCAATGATGTTGAGTTGATTATACTGGCATCCACAGCCCTGTGCAGTGATTCTCAAAGTACATTTATAATCTCTATGTTCTTTTCTCATTTTCTTATTCCCTTTCATGAATTTTTAGGTAATATGTATATTCAATTATGCTCTGTAGAAGATCAATTTTCCTGTCTATCCAGAAGATTATTCCTTTTTAAGTTGGCAATACTTGTTTGGTTTTGTTTGAATATAAATGCTTTAATGCGGTTAGTCATCAGGCCAAGCTGTAGAAGTACTGATTGTACAATCGGGGGCTGAAAAATATGTAACTTGGATTGTTTTATCTGTAGTTTATGTGCCTTGAATGTAAGTTAAAATTCTGGAGCTGCATCTCACCTTGTGGATGTTCTTGCAAGATGGAACAGTGAGCACTTCCTATGGGGATTATTTTACCGCACGGGACAAGACACCGATGGATGTGCTGAAGGAGGCAGCAACAAAGTGATTGATATGGAGATAGACATGATAGCTGGAGAAGATGTAGGAACGCTGGACATTGTGCTCCACTCATGGTTGTAGATCTGTTCACAACGAGTTTTCTTCATTCAGTTCTATCTTCTTCAGTCTGTTTTAGTCCAGCTACTTCTGTCTATCTTGATGCTTGCATCGTCTATCTGACTCGTATCTTTTGGTTATATCATCCGACTCCAGTGTTAGACTCCTCATACAATTTGTCACAAACACAAATCAACAGTTAGATTTATGGTCAATATGTGAGTACTGAGTTCTTTAATCGTTGATCGCTTGGAATCCTATTACAGTTATGGTCAGTATGTGAATTTAAAACGGAACAAGTTGCTTAAAACAACTCAGTTGGTATGGCACAGCCTTCACTATCTTCAACATTTGCAAATTAAAGAACAAATATCACTGGAACTGAAATGGTTGAAGACATTTTATTGGAAAGATACGTTTCCTTGTGATATGCTCTGCATTCTGAAATGTTTGAAGACACTTTATCGATGATATGCCACTCATCCATGCCCGAAAAATGAAAGAATTAAAAATCCTTTTTATATATTTCAGATCACAGAAAGATGTTTCTCAAAATTTAAATGAATAATCATGAATTTGCTATAAAGTTTGCAGTTTGAAATTGGACTAGCATTTAACACTAATGAATAATATAGAATAGAACTCGTCTTTCTTTATAAGGAATGTTGAACATTTACACAACTTTTTTATTATCAAACTAATAAGGGGTTGCACGTGAGGATATCTTCGTCACACGCTGCCTACATACCCCAAAATAAATCCTATAGAGGGATCAAGTCCACACCACGTACTTCTTTACATATATTACAAATCATTTTTTTTAATTATTGATCTATGATCTATTTGTCAGTACCCAGTACCCTTGCACAAGTTTCGTTCTCTACTTCCTTCAGATCTGGCAATTGTCTCACGAATTTATGATTGCCGAACTTGAACGTTATCTTCCGGATTGGTTTGTGTAGAAGGGACTTTGAACCACTTTTCTTCTTCCTTGTCTTTGCTGTGTTAACTAGTACTATGGACGAATTCTGCAGAAAAGGATGGTTCAAGAGCACATCGGCAGTCCAACGCGAACTGGGATTCTTCACAAGACATCTCTTCAGAAAATCTTTGGCTTCCTTTGACAACTTTGAATTCTGAAACTTAGGTTTCTCAAACGCGATTTGGTGCAACACATGATCACCATCTCCGTCCCACAGCGGTGTCCCTGTAATAAGCTCATAGACAGTGCAACCAAGAGCCCAAATATCAATGTGTGGGCCATAGTCATAGTTAAGCACCAATTCAGGTGCCATATACCTTTTTGTTCCCCTGATCATCAGTTCCTGTTTTTCTTTGACGGCCTGTTCAAAAGTCATGGAAAGCCCGAAATCAGCAATCTTGGCAGTTTCTTCTGTGCCCACCAGGAGAATATTGTCAGGCTTGATGTCGCAGTGAATAATTCCATTAGTGTGAATGCAACTGAGGCCTAAAAGAACATTCTTTGTGTGTTTTTTAACTTCAAACTCGGGCAATGAATTGCAATTGCGAAGTCGATTGGCAAGGCTTCCCCCTGATGCATACTCCAGCAATAAGTTGTAAATGATGACTTCATCTTCGAATGAGAGATTAGCTCCGAAACAGCGAATAATGCACGGAGAGTGTTTGAACATACCGAGAAATTCCTCTTCTTCTTTCAACGATTGAGAATCACTGTAGATGCAAGACTTGACGGCAATAAGAGAGGGAAGAGTAACGCCATGAAATAGTGCATTGGAGGTAGAAGCTAACGAGACGACACCAAATCCACCTTGACCAAGAGTTGTGCCTCTCTCCCACAATAATTCCGCCATATATTGAATGTGCAATTTATTGGTAGTATACTATAGTAAATGTACGTACTGAGGAGAGTAATTTATAGATGATGTTACTCTATTCCTATTGTAATTTGGATTAAACCTTTCTTATCCCATTTCCATTCCTACACCAAAATGGATTCTCACAGTTTAATTTCTTAAAAAGATGAAAGTTTCTAATAGTTTCAAAATTTAACTATAGGTTTGTTTCCTTCTACACTATTCTTCTCGTCTGTTTCCTATTCTTTTTTGCTTTTATTTTCCTAAATAAAATTCTTAAACAAGATATTTGTGAAATAATTTAATTTATTAATCAAATTAAAGAGCATAATTTAAAGGCGGGAAAATCAATATATTTTAATTTCTTTTCCATTAATAATAATAAATAGATTTTAAAAAGGATTATTAATCAAATTAAAGAGCATAATTTTCGGGAGGGAAAATCAGTCAGCATAAACAACATGTATACATACTATTTATACAATACTATATATTATATATATACAGACGACTAATTTTTTTGGTTCATGGTGCCCTGTTCGAAATCCATGATGAGCATAGTGGGTTCAGATTTGGTTTTAAAGCTGCTGGACATGTGAGAGCACATAGTGAAAAGGATACACCAATAAACTTTGGGTAGTCCTGTTTAAGAAATGAGTTGCAATCATAATATATCACATAGCTATTTTAAATTGCAAATAATTATTTCTTGGTTAGTCTGAGTTCTTGAGCCGAATAAATTGGTTTGAAATATTTTTAGACTAAAAAGATGAATGAAAGGTATTTGTGAACCATTTTTCATAGGATGGGATATTTTTGGCCATTTTCCATTAGCTTAATTAACTTCATGATAAATGGTTTACAAACATTAGTTTGAATAAATGGTAAACCTGATTGTGTCCATATGTTTCTTAGAATCGCATTTACACATTTTTTTAATGAGCCACCTTGTCACTAAATACCTAAAAATATGAAAGAAGAAAAAAAAACATAATCAAACTAGTTTATTCATCTCATTTCCTGACAAACCACTAAAAAGAAGTAAAATAATCAGTTCAAATTAAGATCATATGACTTGATAAAAATAAGTTAATTCATAAGAAAGAACATGACGGCTTCTTCACTTGGATACAACTTTTTTGTCCATGCAACTTTCTCCTTACATTATCTCTTGTATTTTTATTTGTTCTTACAAGAACTATCAAAATCCATATCCATTTTGCCAGAGAAATAGAACAACAGCTTTGTCACAAAAGACCTGAAACAAAACCTGTTACGTGTTTGCCTTGAAAAAAATCTTCTACACTGCACTAATTCAAGAGGACAACCAACAAGATCAGAAGAAACGCCACTCAAGTGAGAGTGGCAGTAAGAGCATCAAACTAAAAATGCTTTAACTACAGAAACTGAGCTTCTTCATCACTTTTGCATAAGCCAAAGGGACCGTAGCAGGTTGCCTGAGCCGACGTTTTGATTTCTTAGACTGCACCAAACAATAAAACCCATTTAGCACCACATTGAAGAAGTCATTACTGAAGTTCATGACCAATGCAAGTGTACAAACACAACAACATGCAGATAATTCAACTGAAGAAGCTCAACTTCGTGTAAGCGCTCAAGAATCTATTTTTAGTGGTAAGTGTGTCATTTTATTTATATGAACAGAAAACATGGCAGTTTACTCCAGAACATTTTGACCTTTCTATATTTCTACAACCAAGAATCTACCAGATAATCAAACTTATCAAGTCCATGAGTCCTGGAACTCTATTTTTTTTTAGACTGGAAACATTTTGTATTCCACAGCATTAAGGGCTATGCTGGCCACCTCCAAAATGTTGTTAGGCTGGAACTAATTTTAGAAGGTCAAAAGTCCTGGAAAATCCAAAGATTTGCCTTCCAAAATCAAGTGATCTCAAAAGCTATAGCTTCCTAATCCACTCAATGAAGGCATAAAAGAAAGTGATTGAGAAGTTGCGATCTCACAACAGACTTCACCTTGCTAAGGAAATTTTGAACTTCCTATTACTCTGAACAAAAAGAATTACCACATAGTTAAACATAAGTGAAATCGCAGTTAGACTAGTTCAGCCTAAAAAATCGCAAGATTAAGTTCTCGTATCAAATGTTGTTATTAGTTATTACTGCACCAGAGTTGCATTTAGCTGTGATGCACAATATTGTTACTAACTATTTTACTATGGTCCAAGCAATTATTATTATCAAATAAATAAGTAGCACAGAGGGCAGGCAGGAATTACGTTTCTGCACTTTTAAAAAAAAGTTGTTTTGCCGCACCCAAGAGAATAGCATAACAGTCTAGCGCTCAATGAAGAGGACTGAGAATCATGAGGTCTCCGGTTCCCAGTGGAGACAAAAACACTAGGTGATTTCTTCCGTATGTCCAAGCATTGCTGGACAAAGTTTCCTGATATCTATGTTCGTGAGAGGTAGCAGGTATCATGTGGAATTAATCTGGATGTACACAAGTTGGCCCGGACATAAAGATTATCAACGACAAAAAAAGATGTTTTGCCAAATACACAAGTTTCCACTTTCCACATCAGGAAGATTCTGCCCCGCTCCCTTCCTCCAACCCACCCCAAAAAATGGTTTCAGACGTTGCCCTTACTCGCCGAAGGCAAAATGCACAACTTCATAACAATTAAAGGCTAGCAGACTTCTACCATATCAAACTACATGTGTACATTAACAAAAACAATCAATGAACTGTCTCTCAATCCAAAATTAACTAGTCTATGCTTTTTAAATCTTATTTATCCATGCCCTCTCTATTCAGATTCATTTTATTACTAATGCTAATATCAGAGAATATATCATAGTTAGACAGTTTTACACTGGTGGTCAACATCAACAGTCAACCACCACATTTCTTCTCCTTTATCCAGGGCTTGGGACGGATATTCTTTGTGAAACTCACCTATCAATTAACTATGAAGTAGATTCCCTACTTTTTCGTATAGTACTTGTATGCACAGAATCCCTTTCCTCATAAGAAATTGGTCTTTGCATTTGATTATATTATTTATATGCAACAATATCTAATTAGGGAAAAAGTGATGACAGATGATAGGTAAGAAACAAATGACAACCAATGAATCAATCAATCACGCCTCAAACTCAAATTAGTTGAATCAGATATATGTATTTTCTTTCTCCGTTCTGTTCTATTCAAGTATATCCAAGACTTAAAAATTTGTATTTTGGTGCAC